ATAGGAGCTCTGGTAGCATAGTGCCTAAGGCACTTGACTGCTAACCAGAAGGCTGGCGGTTCAAACCCACCAGCCACTCCTCGGAAGGAAGGTTGGGTATTCCTACTTCCGTAGTGATACTGCCTTGGCAACCCAAGGAGGGGTCGCTATGAGTCGGGGCCGACTCAATGGCAAATAACAACAACAACAACAACAACAACATAGGATCACTATGAGTTGGAATCAACTCTAAGGCACACAACAACAGAACCATCTTTACTTGGAGGATTAAATAGAAAGGGGTACAAAGGATGGTGGAAATATTCTTGACTGGGGTGTGGCTTACAGCGGTGTGTGCATGCATTTGTCAAAACTCATTGAATTGTATGTTTAAACCTGGCATTTTATCACATGTAAATTTCACATCAATAAAGAGTTCATTGCAGAAAACCAGAAATTATTGCCTTTGTTGCTTTTTCATCAGACTATATGGAAAACAGGAGCTCTGGTAACACAGTGCCTAAGGCGTTTGACTGCTAACCAGAAGGCTGGCGGTTCAAACCCACCAGCCACTCCTTGGAAGGAAGATTGGGCAATCTACTTCCATAGAGATACTGCTTTGAAAACTCAAGGAGGGGTCAGTATGAGTCAAATTATTTGACTCGACAGCAGTGAGTTTGGTTTGGTTTATATGAGAAAAAGTATACAATCCTGCTGTCTCAATGGAGTTTGCAGACCACAGCACCATGTGACCTGGGATCTTGATCGATATACAGAATCTTGAGCCCCACCCCAGAACCACTGAATTAGGAAGATTCCCAGGTGGTTCATAAGCACACTATTTGTAAAGCACATCAGGAGGATGTTGAATGGAGCAGGTGACTAGAGAAGGGAGGAGATTCTTTAGGTGAAGTCATCTGGTGACCATGTTGGGAGACCACCCAGCTCTTGTGCATCATCAAAGTATTTCATACCAAGAGGATGTCGATTATATGGGTGCTTACTGCACTTACAGTGCTTAATACACTATATGGATATTAAATAAATGAAGTGACATTTAGGATGGGTTCTGAGAAATCAGTAAGAGTTTGCCAAAAGGACAGCAAAAAGGGCATCTGAGGGACACAGGAAACTATTTTCAAAGGTATAGAGAAGTTGGGTTCATAGCTTGTGAAGGGATGGTGAGCTGAGGTGGTGGTATATTGGGTCCATCACACCCTTCCAGGTAAGCAACCCTCTGAAAGTGTGACTGGACTGGATTGAACAGGCTCTTCTTTGCCATCCTACGGGGTTTCAATTTTACCCTATAGATGATGAGATATTTTGGACTAATGAATAATGGACACACAAAATAAGACATCTATACAAAGGAATATACTTCAAATTTACATTTTCTTCTTTATCTTGAAGGCCAGTGCCTTGGTTTAGATTTATTGCCTTGATTATTATAATAGCCTCTAATTAGTTCTAATGATCTGGCCTCCCTCCAAGCCATCTCCAAATCTGACGATGCCAGTTCATACTTACAATAATTCCATGACCACATTGCTGTCAGGATGAACTCCAAGGACTTAGCACAGTGCTGTCTCCTGTCCATGCATCTAGCCTCATCTACTATTGCTCATCCTTTCATCTCCTCTAGCCCTGGTGACCCACATATAGTTCTCCAACTGTATGAGGTTTCTTAATGCCTTTGCGTCTTGGTGCTTGCTGTTCTCTCAGCCTGGAAAGCCCTTCTCCAACTCACACTTCATACATATCTCAAGAAACATCTCCTCTGGGAAGCCATCTCCAACCCCTGGGCTGAGTAAGATGAATCTTCTATGCTGTTCTGTGGCATTGTGAAGTAAGGCAGCATAGTGGGAATCAAGCAAGGTTCAGCCTCATTTGTCAAACAGGCAGAGTAGACCTGCATTGGAGTTGTGATGTGCACTCTTTCAACTGCCCAGTACAGAAGACTGCCTGGGTTCATATCCCAGTTCTGCAACTTTCTAGCTGTATGTACTTAACTGCTCAGTTCCTCATCTATAAAAATATATTGTTATAGATAGTTACGGACTATCTATAACAATCATACATAACAGAGCCCTGGTGGCACAATAGTCAACCCACTAATGAAAAGGTTAGTGGTTCAAACTCACCCAGAAACTCCTTGGGAGAAAGGTCCGGCGATCTGCTCTCATAAAGTTTACAGTCTAGGAAACCCTATCAGGCAGTTCTACTTTGTCACATGGGGTTGTTATGAGTTGAAAATTGACTTTACAG